GAACACTTGTTACTCTTTACGACGATAAACAAATATAATTTACCTCAACTATTTTAAACATTGTGTCGGTTTTGATAAATGTTCCCAAACGATTACTCATACTTGATCTTCCCACTCGGAGTAAAACCACAACTTCGGTAGGGGAGGGCGCTCATTCCTGGTCCATTCCTACAGTTCATTGTAAGCATACTGATTAAAATGCATTGCATAGAATGTTTTCTATGAGTTAAACCTAATCTAACAGTTACAAATAAGCCGAAACTCGTGTTAACACAATTGTATAACGAAAAATAATTTAAAAGAGGCCCCTTTTCTTTCCACGAAATAGTCATCCAGCACATTCTTCGGATGCAGCGCATCAGACGGGGGGTCGGGCCGTGGGAGCCAGGGCAGCGCCGCTGCGAAGGCAGCGTCCTGGGAGTGTTAGGATTAGTGGGCGTTGACAGAAGATAGTTTTTGCACAGGAGACAGAGCGATTGTCACGTCGTTCAAGACACGAAGTTGGAAGTGCCTGTGACTCACAGAGTGACTTCTGACCTTAGGTGTATTTATGTTTCCGGGGAGTGTACGGGGGGGGGGAGAACTCGCGTTGTTTCAGACATTGTAACAACAACAACAATAATAATAATAATAATAATAATAATAATAATAATAATAATAATAATCTCATTTCCTAATGTTTCCCATTATATTTGACTGAAGTATCTTTTTGTCTTGCCACCTCCCCAAACTTTGACCGCAAGTACCGAACACCCATGTCTCGCTGTCGTGATTCTTTTCTTTTTTCATCCGTCTTCTTACGGATCACAGTGTGCGCAGGAACCAATAAAAGAACCGAATGATACTCGCCGAGACGTCCCTTCTTCCACCAGATCTAGAGCACACCCCGCAGCTGGTGACGGTCCATATCGAATCCCTCGCCTCCATTAATCACCCTCGCGAATCACTAAAATTAGTCAGCAGCGAAACGAAGTAGGTTAATGAACATGTGGTAGGAATTAGCCCAACACTGCTGTAGCAACATCATCGTCTCGGGTCCTTTTTGCAAGCTTGAAGCACGAAGATGGAGAAGCGAGGAAGAAAAAAAAAATTCCTAACTTCGAAGCTTCCATGGTTCGGAGATAGACTCCTCGCGGATACAAATGGCCGGCAATTTTGAAGAAAAATCACCTCGCCAGTTAAGTCGCCAATTTCAAACGCCGGAGTTGGAGGTGATGTGGCACTCACTAAGACGCGCCTGCGATGGTGGCCGCAAGAGGGAGTCAGTATCGGCAATAAAAAACAGATAAGGGAACGAAGAAAATCAAGAATAAAGAGAAAATAGTGGTCAGAGATAAAGCATATTAGGCACTCAGTGCCAGGTAATAAAAGATGTCCAAATATCAATAGCACAACAACGTAAGTACGTTTAATGGAAGTAAATAGAATTTGTGTAAATCTGGCAAAAATAAACGAGACGGCCAGGGCGAATTATTTCCAAATAATGCTTAGTCGGGGGGTCACGGTTAAGCCGATTTTGACCGAAATTTTTGTCGGCCAACGTCGGACGGTCAGAATCAAACAAAACAGCTCTCCATCCGACACCCGATGGTTTCGGACACCGCCAGGTCCACTCTGTGAACATTTCTGATTTCCATCACGTGTTTGAATAAATACGGAACATGTGACTCAAAATCGTGTACCTTGTGACCACCACCTTAACGGTCGCACGAAGTCGCTCCGAGAAATATATACAAACAAAAGAGAAACGCAATGATCGTGGAACGTGCAATAGCCGTCTTTCGACGACGGCATCGCGAACGCAGAGGCCTTCAGGGGGGCAGACAGGCAGCGCGCGGGCGCAGCGTGCGGCCGCACGAGCCGAGCCGAACCGAGCAGAGCGGAGCAGAGCGCCGCCGTGTGACGTGGCAGCGGCGGCGGCGGCGCGCGACCAGCCAATGGCGTCCGGCCTCCCTTTGAGCCCGCGCGCCCGCGACCGCGCCGCCGCCGCCGCCGCCGCTGCCGCCGCCGCCGCCGCCCCCGAGCGAGCGCTGCGCACCCGCAGCCTCCCCCGGCGACAGGGCGCGCCACCGCCGCCTCTGCACTCGCCACACACACCCCCGTGCTCCCACACGCGCGGCAGACACACTGCTCACGACAACATCCAACCGATATTGCGCTACTTTTCATCTATGCCAGGGCTGTCCGTCTTAGGAGGGCTTATGGACAACTTATCTAATTCTAGTTAAGGTACGGGCCTCACCTTAATTTTAGATGTTTTAACCCTAACTACTGTGATTATACTGAAACATATATATTACAAACATTTTTTTTTCTTCAAAATAGTGAATGATGAATGTGCATTCAACGACACAATTACTATTACAGTTATGCAGTTATAAAAATGCATAACAGAATAATTTAAAAAAAACGTATTTGGTTGGTATAATAAAATTAATCAAAGCAGTGGCGGACCGCACAAAAAGATCCTGCGGGCCGTCAGTTGGAAAGCCCTGATCTATACAGAATAGTAGGGATGCTGATGAGGTGTTGTTAACATTATTAAAGTGCCAACTAATGGAAGCCATCTTTGTAGTGTTAGATTTATGAAGACAGCCTGCATTCGTCAGCTTTGCCATCATCAGTCAAAAATGAACAAAATGTTCAAAAAATAATAAACATGAAAATAACACAAATAATTCTTATATTGTTTATTAATTTTTAATATTTTATACATTTCTAGACTGATGTGAGCAAAGGCGTCGAAAGCCGACTCTTTTAGTAAATCCAACTTCACAAAAATGATTTCAGTTTTCTTCCTATAAAGATTTTTTTTTAAAATATAATTTTTGTAGTTAATATTTTTATACATTTGTGTCTGCACAAACGAAAGCAATTTCTTTCACTTTCCGATAAAGATATATTGCAACCTCTTTTCTTCTTATTTGTATGAAATTCTACAAAATTTACTTGGTCAGGTGGGTCAGTATTTCAATATTAATCGATTAATAAATGTTTGCTGGAAAAAACTGTTTCAAACGACACGCAATGCCATTTCTGCCTGAATTTCTAACTTGAAATTAGTCAATATAACAAACAGTTTTGATGTTATATTTCCTGAATTATGGAAAATATCCGACAGGAGTACTTTTAAATAAGTATTATTAGAGTTTCTATTCTACATTATCTTCATAAAATCTTCATCGGCTATACTCCGGTTCCATCGCGAAACTATCCATCGCGTTCTATGGCGAAACACACCAAGTACCCTCTAGCCCAACCACTCCCGTGCGTGAGGCTAAATAATATATTTCTTTTATCAAAGGTGAATTATCGAGGGATGCGCCAAACGCCCTGCCGGGCCAGAGCCCTCGCCCCATGACAGGATGGCGTGCTCTCGCAACGGGTGGCGAGCGAGACGCCACGTTGAGCGGCGCGATTTCCCAGGGGCCACTGGGATACCGACTCCCGCGAACCCGCGAATCGCTCCCGGAAGTGGCAGCCCCCCCGCCTGCTCCATTAACCTCGTCAACAGTATGGCCATTGCCCGCCATGGGGTGCGCTTGCTCAGCTCAGCTCGGCTCGGTTCTGCTCTCAAGAACGTGTAATTTGCGCCCAAGGGACCGCAGGTGTTCACGAGAGAATGATGACACGAGTTCACATACAAAACGCGGGGGGAGAATACGGCGTTTGACAGCTCCAATTCAGATTCTAGGATCACGTATCCCGACTTATATAGAAATATTGAAAATTTTGTCAAAATATTCCAGAAACAGACATCAGGCAAGAACACAAAGAGTTAGTTTATCGAGTTTACTTTATGAATGATCTTTTAAATTTTAGGCAGCTAATTCTTTACAGAAAATAAGAAAATATGATTATTGCCTAAGAAATATGATGTGGATATTCATACATTTTAAAACTCACCGTACCGAAAAACTGTTTAAAATGTTCTTAAATGTTTATTCGATGTTTCAATTGAAAATGATGCACGCTGTTCAATTCGTAAATCTTTACAGAGGTTACATTTTAAATCACGTTCATGTTTCAAAGTTATTCCAAATATATCAGATTTTTTTGACCACTCCCCACCGCTAATATTAATAGAATTGCAGATGGACGCTCAGATACATAGAGGCTAAGCAATAATCATTACAAAACGTATTTTTAATGATAAAAATAATGCCTGATGATTAACCATTAAATGAAATACGGATTAGAGGTTGTCAGAGAATAGCTGTGAAAATTTTCCCGCATACTTGTGACGCTTTCGTAGAAATCTGGTGATTTCTCGAATTGATATGTTTCTTACGAATTCTAACTTACATTCCACACAACATATGGCATATCAAATCGTAAAATTAATATTTGAGAAATTCGTACAGCATTTTGAAAAATAATTATAATAATACAGGAAATATCTTTTAAATTCGTAACGTCATTCACACGTTACCAGCTACTCGGTATCAAGGACTTTCAAGGTGCAAGCCTGGGTGCACGATTTTCCATGAAAAGGGGACGCGACATGACTTCCTACTGTGGCCTGAACGATTCCGGATTTCTCGGATTTCTAACGAAATCGTCCGCCAACTAGAGCCGCTCAAAACAGACCGAAAGAGGCGACTATTCAACGCAACAATTTGAATGACTCGAAACGATATTTTCAAAAGGGATCTAGCCTTGTTCTGTGTTAATACCAGATACAATATCTAATAAATAATCGAGTTTTTGTAAATTAAGAGGCCTTGTATTTGTTAGGGCATGGTCACAAGTAAATAAAATAACCTACCACACAACAGTGAGTAAAACATTTAAGATCATCATTTAGACCTAATACACATCCAATAACCCTAGTCCTTACTATTTATTACACCTGATCATTCGTTCCTATAATCAAAGAAATTTCAAAAAAGTGTCCACAATGTGTAGGAAACAATGCTGTAAAGACACTACGTTCATTTGTTCTCATTAGTTGAATAATATGGTTACGTTTGGCGCCATAGAGTGGCGGAGGTATTCACCTGTTTGGAGAAGACGGCGATGTCCTCGTTGAAGGACTCCGACGAACACACGTCGCCGCCCGCGACGCCGGGCTCTCTCGGGGTGCAGGTGGCGAGCTCGCACTTCTCGAAGATGAGCGCCAGCAACGGGAACAAGGGGTGCCTGTAACGCCACAGCCCAGTCAGCGCAAGGTCACACAGCCCTCGACTCGGTCACGGACAAATATCGTTCGCGGATTGCAAGAGCGGCACGAATTTTAAGTCTCCAAAGTCGCAGATTGGTCCAGCAGCATGTTTGCAGTTCAGTTTTCCACCAACGAATGTTAGAAGTGGGAATGCAAAAATGATGCGGTTCGATACCAGATGAAACTTAAATCGCATTTATCTCAACACCTATTTTTTGGGGTTGTGCCACTATTGCAATCCATGAGCGATATGTGTATTTTAGATCACTTGTGTTACGTCACTCTCAATACATCTAACAAACACATTAGCCTTACTTTACATTACTGGGCATTGCCCAGTCAAAGAGCTTATTTCCAATGAAATGCATTTCCATTTCCTTGCATTTTTAAGTGTTAGGGATCGGTATACAATTCTGAAGACGCTTCTCCATAATACTACCACATATTCTGTTTAAAATTGTGATTTTATGAAGTTCAACGGAATTCAAAAACGTTTCAATCTTATCCTCAAATTTTAGGCTGAATATGAATACTTTCTATTCTGAAAATTTGTGTTTAATGGAGATACGTCCCTTTGGAAATGAGCTCTTCAATTTCATACGCCAAGTTGCTTTGTTTTAGGAAATAAACGTATTTACATTTAAGTATTACTAATATTAATCACATTGATGGAATGATTCTCACCCAATTACAGAACAAACTCACATCATACACACGTTGTCAGCCATAAATAAAAATATATCAACGGAGTACATTTTTGCTTAATTTCAACCATTATCATTCAATTAATTCGTCAATGAAAGGTTAAATCTTCATTGCAAATACACAGAGAATCTAATAAACGTAATTTGTTAGTAAGATTCTTGTGATTTACTTCATACTTTTCAGAACATTTTAGTAGACATGCAAAAATATAATCTATTGCCTAACTCACTCAATAAATTGGGTATTCACGATCACTATTATGATACTAACACAACATTATCACGTTGGTAATGAAGAAACACCAAAACATACTTGTACGCCATTTTTGCTAATAATCTGTAAAATCTTTATTAAAAACACTCATAATTTCTTAATTGAATATCGAGGTGACCATTTTGGTGGAGATAAATAAACAACTTTTTTTCTGAAACGTATTAGAACTCAACACCTTGCACTATGATCAGTTTATTAGTACGGCCAATTCCGAACTCCCAAAAATGCAAGGAGACGACACATGATTTGATTTACTATTTTCTACTTGCCAAACTAAATTTAAGCCTACTTTCATTTTACTTCAAGGCATGTATAATGACATTCTGTCGACTAATGAACTTAAGTAAAGTACTCCGTAAAGTAGTGTATTACTAATTCAATTCCATTATTGATATAATTTTTTTTTTCGAGAATTTGACACCATTATAATGGAGGGAACACTGAACACATTTCTGATTCCAGAATAACTCTACTGTTAGTACAAATACAGATGTTTTTGATAACGAGCAATCTAAAACTAATAACAAGAGGGTAATATTTTTTCATTGATCGTTGCTAGTACTTCAGCAACTTCAAGATATTATAGATTGACATAAAAACTTCAGAAGAATCTACAATTATTTTTTTTTTATTATATTTTTCATCGTGTCTTAGAGCTTCTAATAGAAAACTGTCACATCTACAAAATCTGAAATTTTGTAAAGTGATGACATAATTTGTCCTAAAACAATATTTTTCAGTAGACAACTTTTATCAGAGAATTGTTTTGTAAAATTATAATAAGAATGTCACTGAAAATGATATTCTGGAAAATATTTTCATTTTAAAGTTACGCAATGACATAGTCTGAAAGCCTCAAATTGTGCAGTTGTGCTAGTTTTCTAATGAAGATGTAATTGTTCACAATTCTTGTATTTTTGGGTTGACTAGCCCTTAAAACATTCATTCCATTCACTGTAGAAATGTGAAAATTTTAATTAATAAAATCTGCATAGAAAAGTAGTAGAAAAGTCATATGCTAATAAAACATTATACGCTGATCATAATTTGTAAGACATATGTTCAAATGGAAATAATGAAACAATTTCTTCTTACGCCCCACAGAGCATGGATTCGCAATATTCCAACATTTGCCTTGAAAAATGGATTGAAGATATATTAACCTTAACACGGCCAATTACGAACTTCTTTCATGTCTTAAAACGAATGTAATTTTTCTTCGCTTTAACAGAACGTTTTAGCTGCGGAATGAAACGCAAAAACCTTAACAGAATGACAGAGTCCATCTTTCGTCTTTTATTGTAGAGTGGAAATACTTCTAAAGAGTCAAATGTTATTCATTCGAATAAATATTAAAATATTGTAGGCCGATTGCTCGCAAACTGGTAAAAGCTTTTGGTATGCGATTACATTATTTTGCTACGTGTAAAGTTCTGTAAGTCGACACAAACACACTAGACTAATTAATATGACATTTCGAAAATAACGGAAACTAGTTTTTAGTATCTTATTCATTTCTTAATTAGTCTCTTATTAGTATTTTACTCGGTACAAGCCGCATGAAAAGAATCCGTTTAAAGAAAAACAACTTCAGAACATTTACGCTAGCATGCGATCATTATCAGAGTAGCAAATACGTAATTTCTCTAATATTTTGTCACTACTGAAACAAATCAATGAGGCTTCAATTTTGTTTCTCGGAAACAATGGCTTCTGTGTTCGATGGAAACAACCTTCATGCCAATCAAACAAGTTGGATACTTGTGTTTCAGTAAAACTTGGATACATACATTTATCTTTCACGGGTGATTATAAGGTCTTAAATACAATTGTTGGAGGACCAAAAGCCATTCTCCAAAGTTTCTCAAACACTTGAGAAATTGATTTAAGAAAAAAGGCTTTGAGAATACCGAAGTAGAAAAAAACTTAATTATTACTGAGATTTTTAAAGATGTTTTTAATTTCCGGCGAGTGTCTAACGTTGTTCTAGTTTTCTCAAAGTAATATCTTAGTGTGTTAGACCTTTCTACTCTTCATCTAGATACATACGAAACTGTGAGTAGAGGAGATGGTAATTCTAAAAAAATTCTAAAGAACCTGTGTTCAGGATAAAAGAAATTATTGTATATTGCAGATATTTTTACGACTAAGAGGCATAATACGTTAAACTCGTGTTCTTACATTTCAACCCATGAACGCAACGCAATATCGGACAAGAAATAAAATAAACATTGCTACTTAAGATGACAAAAATTGTAAACTCAAAAGAATACAACATAGAAATTCCACAGATATTTAAGATCACAAAAGTTGCCCCAAACGCGTACAAATTAACATCAACCCCTCCCATAACAATGAGTCTGCTGCGACGTCCGGCGCTCACTCGCTCCCGCGTACATATTTAAAACCGCCAAATGCCATTACCAGGATCGGGCCAGTCCTGGGCGGGGCGGGGTGGAGGGCGATGAAACGCCGGGCAGCGGACGGATAAGGGGGCGAATGCTCTGGTGGCTGGCGGCTTACGCGCGCGGGACTTGCTTATCGCGCATTATAACGCGAGCGCTGTCGATTTCCAGCGGCGCTTTAGCGGCCGGTCCGCTTTCAGCCCCGGC